TATTGACTCCTGAACAAACATTACAAGAGGTTAACATAAACTTTAAATGATTTAAAGAACTGTCTTTCCGCAGGAAGTAGAGTGAGAACAGTAACTCTAGAAATGGCAATTATTGTACTAAAAGAGCTTGTATTGTACCGCCAAGACAGCGTAATGGAGGCGTATTTGAAAGATCGACATCTAGCACTTGTAGAGGTGATTATTTTGTAATCTCTTAACCTATGTTCATCAGTATTTAATACAAGGACTTTTTTCTGCCTTTTTAGAATATTAGAGAAGCAAGTACTCTTCAACTACGGCATTTCTACAAGGTATCCGATAAAAATTGTTGAATCTATTGAAAAAGTTGTCTAGAAATGGTCGATCTCTGTTTTTTAAAGACCTTTGCCACTCGATAAACCGTTTGTTATTGAAGCATTATTGTTATTGTCACAGGAAGATGAAATATTTCTTGATATGTTTGAGGATGAATACAGACAAATGAAGGTAACTTTTGTTAGGGATCAATCTCGAGCCCAGAGTCTTCACAGCTAAACGTCAGCGGTCTGCTGACGTTGCAATAAAGACTCTTGCATTGACTTCCTCTTAATGGCAAAAGTGCGGGCTCTGGGTACGATGGTTAGACGTATAAACCCTCCCCTCCCCTATAGAGGGTGTGATATAACTCAAGCTAAAGATCTCATTTGATGCGCATGCCATTTCAGATGAAACCGCTGAATGTTCTCCATTTRATGATGGACGCAACTTTATTATTGCCTATTACTGGTACTCCGCTGACCGGTATTGAGTTTTCTAAGCGACTGCCGTGTGGAGAGGTTGAACACACTAGACGAGTAAGTACAATCATGTAAATAATAGCGAAGTTTGTGATGGTCATGGTAGCAGCTCTTTCATATCGAAGTGTTTCGAACTTCGATATATCTAAATATATGTCTGAGAAGTGATAAATGCTTATTGTTTGCAAAACAGTATGAAACACAACAGCAATCCTGTAGTGAATTTCGCCGATGTGAAGTTAAAGCTTCGTGTGTGTTTTTCCCCCCGCAGGCAATTCGTGTTTTCTTAATGATGCGTGAAYTATCACTAACGCTTCTGCAGAAGACAGAGACCAGGCTCCCTCTGTCAAAAGTAGAATATTCTGTTCAGTTGGAAGATGTACTGGATTTGAGTAAGTTATTTACTAAGGTGGGGATGGTAGGGGACCATTTGACTGCATATTGTAATGTCTTACTGTTCTATTTTAACAGATAACAGTGATTTGATATCATGTACTGTGGTGATGGACGATAAGTATGTTCAAATTTGAGTCATTTTGAGTATATTTTGTCGTCTAATTTTATCAACTTGCTTCCATTCGATTTTAAAGGCTCACACACATCCAAAAACCTTTGCGAGATTTTCTCAMACCAAAGTTATCCATCTTTAATGATTTTGAACCAATTAGAAAGCACATTTCAAGAAAATATCWTAAAGCAAAAGAGTCGATCGCAAGGTTCTTGAATGCACACGTGGTCTCCTCGCAGCCGCCTTCAGTTTCAATCACGCAACGATCCGTAAGCATTGCGTGACTCAATTCTTGATATGGCTGCGGGTTGACTAATGTTTTAAGTCAAGTTTTCAGAAATCAACCTTTTTGAACACGTGATTTTTTTTTATTTCAGGCGCATGCGCAGGTTCTTAGTCATCGATGARGCACAGTTCATTCTAGTTGAGCCTGACACCAGCAAGTTGGGTTGGGGCGTGGTCAAATTTGTTGCTCGGCTTCAGGTACAACTGTTATTGTTACTTACATGTATACCAGAGAACGACATGGACAAGAAGTCTAAGAGAAAAAGAGAGAATGTAGTTAACGTATTACTAAAATTCAAAGATTAGTGTTCTCCACATTTTCCTGCGCCATCTTGAAAGGTAACCGTGCCTTGGCATCGAAGCGAGACGACTGGAGAGCGTGAAAACGCTTATGGGTATCTTTTTCAATGCAGAGCTACGGTTACCTTTCAAATTGGCATAGAGAACTTAGATCTTAGTGCTTTAACAATGTTTTGGAAAAGTCTTCAATGAAGGCTTAATGCCCCTGGTCTTGGATCACTACCGATATCAGTCTTTTATATRAAAGTGCGATGGTACTACCACGTCACTTAATATATATAATATTAATATTGATAGGACGTCGAGACGTCGCCAGATAAAGAAGACAGTCGGTCGCTTTTCATCACGATTCATCAACCTTTTGCCGCTAGAAGTCTCACAAAAGTCAGAACTCGACCACTTTTGTCGGCCAAGTTTGTGTTCGATGATTATATACGATGCATGTCTGCAAGGCAGAGATTGCAGAGACGTCGCACAATGCTTAAGCAAAACAAGCTGCATAGTATTGCACAATTACTGGAGCTGCCAGCTATGGCGACACCCCCGTCACATTACTACACCATTACTCCCCCTGATTACATWAACTTAGGRTCAGGAAAGTCAAATCAAACAKCGCCAACGCGTTCTCAAGACGCAGACGGTGGTAATGATGKAAGGAGAGAAAGAGCAGACGCYATGTCGACSATTTCTAATCCTGGCCAGTGTTTATCACCAAGCTCTAAAACACGAACTTCGTCGCTAGCGCAGGCRCATGCCTTGGCGCTTGTTYTAGAGCAGTCGCCTCCACATGATAGCATCTCGGAAACAAGAGTCGGCGAAAATGCTATTTCTAGAGTAAGGACCATATCTGTGGAGGAAGCAGAGGARGCGCTGGATATGGAACCTAAAAACGGACGAAACCTGTCACTTTCGAGGGTCCAGGAACAAGAATCAATAAGTGATGGTTCGAGCTCTGAAACTTGCAGCCGTGCAGAATCAATTGAAAACATTTCTGAATGTCGATTTGTTAAGACAAAATCTTACTCAGCACCACCCACCCCTCGTGGTGGACGACACCCTCCCCCTGTGGACGCCATTGATCTTGACGGAAATGAATTGGTGTTGCCAACATCATCTTGTCTGTCAGATCCAGCTATTTATTCCTGTATGGAATGGGAAACACCAAGTGTTCCTAAGAATGACGACKCTAAAACGAGAAACAATACAAAATTAGGACGAAGAAAGGGCAAGAAGAAAGGACATGGCAGACGACGGAGCACGAAATAGATTGGGATCCCTGTGGTAGAATTGGGAATAAAAGACGTAAATGAAAATGGATGAGAATGGATACTGTCCTTAAAYCCTTGTATACAGTAAACCAATCCAAGAAATATTATTTAAAATCTTATATTTTATAGGATACAAAATATACATCTCAGAATTCCACATATTTTTCAAGGATATATATATAATACGCGTCCAACTTGTTCGTTACTCAAATCTGATCTTATAAAGTATTTGGCATTTAAAGAAAAAAATATTTGGAATTCGTGTGATAGTGAAAGGGAAAGAAAATACACATAGATGGAATAAGAAAGTTAATAAATGATTGTTAAACGGGCGCATTTGTTGTTTTTTAGATTTGTTGTTTTCAAGGATTTGATATAACTTCCAAAGAGTTGAAAAAAAGGTAACTCCTTTTCCTTAGGTAGATTTAACTCCGTCAAGTTTAACTGCACCTAGGGGAGTAAGTTTAGAAATGGTGGAAACTAGCGGTGAACCAGTGTGAGCTGCGTCGGTGTTTCTAAAAACACAGTTGTGTAAAAAGATAAATTTAACACCGTAAACAAAGTAGGTGAAACAACTGACTGAGTGACGTTTCGGACTTTAATCCTTATTCGAAGTAATTGTGACCCCCTTTCTAAGAGTAATTTTCATTTGAAACCCCTTTTAGAGTAATTTTGACTCTCTTTTCCAGTTTATTTAACTTCTGGGTTAAAACTACTCGCATGGTAGAGTATAGATTTAACCCTCACTACACCACCACAACCAGAGTAACTAACTCCATTGGTGGAGTTATTTCAACTCCTTGAAAATAACAGTGTATTCTTAAAAGAGTGTAGAACGCATCTTCGGACAATTGTTTAGAATTTGAGGACCATGCTGCACTACTATTGAAACTCATGTTATGTCGTGTGCATTATTGCCTGTGATGTTGGCATATCGCCCGTTACAAGCATTTCAAAAAAACACCTGCAACATTTCACATTATGGTGCATGATTTATGAATGAAGTGCTCGCATATCAAGCATAGTAAAAGCACTTGCAATATCGCGAAAGTGACATTGCATATGGGAATCTTTCAAATATTGCAGGCTATGAATTTTTGGACAGAACGTAAGAGCAATATTTCGGTTTTATTGCAAAACCATCATCAGGCTAATAGTGTACAAAACGCAATTTTTGGTCACAGRTCGCTGCGCCATCTTTAAAGGTTGAATGTTGCTCAATTGGATGGTGCTTATGAGACACGATGAATCGAGCCGTCTCACGTTAGGAGAAGGTTTATTTTGACCCCGCCTCAACACTATAGTAGATTGAAACTGGTCTTGTTTAACACTCTTGTCATGCAAGAGTCTATAGACTCTAGAAGACAGCCACCCCAAAACTCTAGTACCTTCCTTCAATGTCTTCCATTCGAACACAACATCGCTTGACATCAAACAAGTAGACCACCATCGAACACATGATCGGAACAGATGATTTCAGACAAAACTGAGCGGTAAAATTAAAGGTCTTTGTTGTATCGTACGGGTACCAGTCACTTCCCTATTTTCGTTCTATTGTTGATATGATCTCTTGTTAATTTACTGCGTGTTTATCGAACATATGATCAAGAAATCGAAAAAACCCCGCTATTTTAAAGTTGTGGAGTATGTTTCTGGGAAGGAAACTGGTTCTCATGAAAGCGCAGGAAGGAAACTGGTTCTCATGAAAGCGCAAAGGTTATTCTGAGAGGAAAAAAGAATATTCTCTTTTAGATTTTTTTTCTTTTATTTTTTGGTTAATCTTTCATTCGGCATGCTATAATGCGTGACTTAACCTAACTCCACTGACTCTTTTTCAACTCTTTACAAATAACAAAAAGAGCAAACAAAATGAATTTAATAAGAAAATAAAAAAGACTAGGGATGGGTCTCCATTTATCAGTCACAGCAGCTAAGTGAAATCCTATCTTTCCAAACTTACAAAACAACACGATGCCGTGTTATAATATAATCTTTGTAGATCTTATAGTAATGTTAACGCTTATCGAGTGAAAATCTATACTTCCTTAGGATTTCAGCATATTTAAGGTTGTGTATAGAGYCTCGAAGTAGACCCCCTGTAACGACTTTCGCGCGCTGTCAACAACWACCACRTGTTTTGGCTCCGCTCAGGTTCTATATGATGCGATAAGATTGTAAAAGGCAGAGCACTTTGATCTTGACTATTATTGAAAATTTATAACTATATACACAAAACARATGATAGATTTGATGAAATAATAAAGAGAGCTCAGTCGAAAGAAGAAAAAGTTATGGAAACACACGACTTGAAAAAGAACAGCGTTTCTCTTTCTTATTTGTGTGCAACTCAAGGTGCGCTTCGGTAAACATTCACTTCACTGACAGTGCCGAAAATTACCGCTAGCTTATGAATTTAAGGCTCGTGGGAAAATTCTTAAATAAATAAAGCGAACATGAGTATATAAAGCCCCATTCTGTGAGAACTAGTTAACCTACAATACAGTTTTCATCCTTTATGACAGAATCGGAATTGACCCAAATTCTAATGCATATACACCCAGTCATTTTTAAAAGGACCGCTCATATTGAACGCGTTTAATTGAGATAATTTTTGCGCCAAATCTCAGTTGAGGCCAAGTAAACATTATCGCTTGTTTATAAAGCTTTTAAGCTATTTTCAAAGGTGTGGCTTTATCATCATCGCGCTTATACATAATATTAATCCGGTTCGAGGTCACGCTGACCAAGCCAACTCACAAACACACTGAACTGCTATATCAGTTCTACTTCAACTATATCCAGTTTTTCAATTAAATATTGGTTCTGTTCAAAGGATGTAAYTTCCTTTTACGTAAAAAGAAGACTTTTCTCATGACGGAGACAGCTTTATAAACGTCCTTGAAGTTCTCAGACTTTAAACAATAAAGCAGAMCGTTGTGTGGTCCGGTCTATCGGGACATCGTCCATTTGAACATGGGATGAGCATTAAGTTTTTGTGCAATATCTATTTGGTATGAAAACAATSTTATCTATGGATTTAATTACATAAAACACAAGAAAAATACAAGTCTAACCCATTAACTATAATTCAACACCAATGTTTAACATCAAAAATCAAAAAGATGTTTGTAGGTCGTGTGCAACTTTTAACATGTTGGTGATTGGGATTAGAAAATTACAATAGTAACAACAGACAAAGTAGCCATTTGAACGGCTATTCACTGAGGCTCCATGAATGGTCATTTTCAGTCTGCAATTGAATTTACCAAATCCGGAGAAAAAACGTTTTATATTGTCTCATCTTTATTAATTTTTCTAACTTGACTTTGTCAATTTTATTAACGTTGCAAAACGGCTTTTATTAATTTTGAAAGTGATTCAGTTCTGACGCACAATGGACAATGTGCAGCGACGCCATTTTGTGCAAAAAAGCATGATGGAAGTTGTAATGCTCGCATTCAGTTGACTAAACTAAACTAAACTATTTTTTTTTCTTGATTGAAACGACACAACTGCTTCCAGTTCCACTAGAAAGAGAAAAAATACCTTTAGCAGGATGATAGCGGACATTGAATAAGTACGAGAACTTCAACTCCCATCATGCTTTTGTGTAGAAAATGGCGTCGCWTGTACATCCATGTACACCAAAGTACCCGTCATGTAATAGTTGTTTTTGTAAATGTTATTATTTTAGCGCGAAAACGCGCCACCTACGAGGTATTTCCCGCTATGGCCACGAGCTCACTACACGTGTCTATGTTTATGACAGGTTTTTCAAGGACGATTAATCCACAAAACTTTGTTTTTAAGTTTAATACAATACATATAATGCAATAGATTGACAAAAAAGGGATTCGCCTAAGACATTGCTTTGAAAWGATTAAGCCTAAAATTGGAGTACATGTTATGTCATCTTTAACTAGTTAACAAGTGAAGTTTTTTTTTGAAGTTCGCCTGCCTGTGTTCATATACGGYGGGGTCTTGTTTTCAATTTGTAGCACTGACTTTTTCGAAATTATTTATGCTAGAAGCTAGGTTTTTATGCTTWAATTTTCTTTCTCTTAAATCTGTTCACCGTAACGTTTGAGTGCATAAACGTATTATACTGTTACATTGCGTTTATATACCTTCATCAAATCATACCACATTTCTAGTACATATCGTACGAATATAATTAAACGTATATCCTTCATCAAATCACCTCACATTTTCTCGTACATATTGTACGTATTGTAATTAATTAACTTAAACGTGTGCAATCTAGTTCATTGACAACGGTTTTTGTCAATCTTGTTTTCGACTATTTCAAGTTCTTTAACAAAGGTGTTACAGTGAATTTTTATTGGCTAATCTGCCATTCATGTTTCTTTTTGATCTGGGYTTGGCACATGGCACATGTGTGTACAGGGTTTGTTGCTTGGGCCAAACAGGTGAAACGAAAGTAGTTGTGATTGTACATTAGCACCGGTAGACTACCTGTACTCTWTAATTTTCGACCAAAAGATCAAGTTAGAATTCAAATAAAGGATATTTGATACATCTTCAACATATGCTTATCTATTCTTCATTTTTCCATGCTTTGATATGATAAGTTCGGTTRTAGCTCAGCAAATCTTTGAAAGGTCTTTGTCTGTTAATATATTTGAACAAGCACATGACTTCGACCGAAAGATCATCTGTTTTTTCTGTGYTTTACCTGTTACAGTCGACACTCAAAACACTTGTGTTGATAAGTTCTTAAACTTAGACAAARGGCTGTGTGGTTATGCTAATTAGTTTATTCAGCAACTTTGGGTAAATGTATGCAAAACGCCTTTGGCGCCATTCATCGAGTAAACCATTCGAGTGTAGAAAAAAAGCCATTCAACTGCAGGGAAGTTGTCAATGAAATCCATGACGTCACAAAAGCTGAATTACTGCCACACTTTGCTACTGCAGGATGCATTCTYAATCCCTCGATTGATGAGCCATCGAGTGTCGTATCTGAGGAGCTCTGTCTYAAATCTACAAAATTTTCACCAAAATCTTCATCAAATTGCAAATTTGTTAAAGGTTGGGTATTACGTGACAAAGATACATCGTTGGAAACAATTTTGAATTTCAGGGAACAAATTCTTACCGATCAGAGGTCATCCTCGTTGTAGCAAAACAACTCAGCCAAAGCAAAGGAACTCGTTCAAGGGGAACATTTAAAATACATAATGACAAGTAAAAAATCCAAGAACTCGTCAAAGGACAACGCAGAACACATCATTCAAATTCGAGCCAAGGACATGAGTCTTTCACGTGAAAAGAAGCAATCAAGTTGCGGATGCTGCGGCAAGAAATACGTATCGCTTGGCRTTGTTGGGTTTGCACTCTTGGCCGTGGGCTCGTTGCTTGTGATGGCTCATTTTAGCATTCGAAAAATCACAACATCAGTTGTCCTGACGCAGAATTCATTCCCGTGTTACATCACGGGAGGAGTGGTAAGTTTGCATTTTGATGTTAGTTATGATTTATTGTGCGTAACTGCAAACGTAGAGTCACACCATGTCATCACCAAGTCACACATATATACACTTCACAGGCAAATTTTAGAATTTTGCTTGTTTACCATTACAATATTCCATCAAAAGTCTTTAAAAAATGAATGCGCATTTCCTGCGGTATTTCTTCGATATTGACCTTTTAGGAGAGATGTAATTTGCACAATTTTTCATTTCCTTTCATATTGCATCTCTAGTTCATCYATCACGAAAAAGAAATATACCTGGTATAATTATTTGAGTCAAAATTTCTCTTGTAGTTGTACTGTTTTTTTTCCGTTAAGAACAACACAACAGAAATGCAAATAGTTATTTTTTAAGCAAACAGACGCCCTGACAAAAATTCACGCGCGCAAAAATCAGCAATTCAAAGTAAGGTTTTTTTAAAAAACATGTTTCATAAAAAAATAATAATCCTAAGGAAGTTGCCATTATGCCTAATTTTAGAGACCTTTYTATGGATTTCTCAGGTTTCTAAGTTAAGCTAACATTTATGAAAGGTAAACTATCGAAAACGTGGCGCGTGGCGTTAAAGTCGTTGCGYTCGAGGTCTAGTTCCTCTGGGAATTAATCCACACCGTTTTAAGTTATAAAATCGCTAAAAAAAGTATGATTTGGGATGTTTTTGAATGATAGRGATCAGGGAAGCTGGGCATTGTTTTGTTCTGGTCAAAGCCCTACCGTCTTTGTTGAATACGAGCCACGATAGACCATTAGTARATCAATATTGAACACGTGCCATGACCAAAGTCTTTTGTGTATTTCTACTACAAAAGCGTGTCCAACCCCTCAATTGACGTCCCAAGGGGAACGCAAAAGACTTAAGGAATTCAACTTTTAAAAACACTTTTCGATACTCCTGTACTAGTAGAAGCATTACAATATATTTAGTCAACTTTTTCATGATGGTTTTTGAAACCTTAGTATTTCTAATAACTTGTCGAAAATCTTGTAAACAGTGAACAAAAGTTAAGGAAACTAAGGCAGTTTTTTTATTACAGAAACTTCAATTTTTGGTAGAGTCATTTTCCCGCGAGATTCAGCTTTCTGATTTGACAATCAATTTACATTTTTGATAGCTGCGCTTTATAAAGTATGAATGTCACTAAAATCAATTGYCCATGATCAATTCATAATACTTTACCTTGAAAGGACTTCAGACAACAAAGACTATAGTTCCTTTGAAAAGAACTGAAGATAAAAGAACTTTTTTGAACTTTTTTATCCGAAAATTCAGTTCAAAAAGAAAGAGATCGCTCATAAACTTTTGTAACAAAAAGCAAGACTGTCTTTCAAATGGACGTGCTTTTTAAAAAAAAGAGTTTCTAAAACATGAAAAAACATCAATAATTTTGCGCGCACATAAAAACAATCATTCCAATTTGCAGGTTGTATTTTCGTAGTTTCATCTTTCTTTTGACAACAGTGCTCGCCAAAGTMATGTCATATAATTTCAAATTCAGCGCGAAAAAAATGTTTTTGTATTTGTTATTATTTCTAACTATATGCGCGTGTCAAACTCAGTGGGAGACCTATCACATTCATGACAAGGTCACCAATTCCATCATATGAAGGCTCCTTTGAACACATTCAGCCATTAGTAGCATGAATTCTTGAGTCTAAGAACGCTTTTGCGACTGATAGTTCGAAATCTTATTCATGCGCAAAATTTACTTGAAAATGAAGTGAAATTGTTGGTTTGGAGAATAATATTTACAAATAATAACACGGGATAACAATGACAACCGAGATGAACGTCGCTCTGGTCTGTGTCTYTGAAAGTTTGCTTCAATGGTCTGCACGTGTTAATAAAATGTCACTACTAATTGTTGCCGCGTGCCAGCCGCAGGGGGTGATTAGTGGGTTTTTTGTTACTTTATTCGACCTCTCTTAACCACTGAACAAARATAATCGTTCTCACTTGTCCATGCAAGGCCGGGCGCGGAAGGAAAAGCGTTTTGGCGGGAAAACCAGAGTTTGACCGCGCGCGTTGTTTTGAAAACACTTTGGCGCCTGGGAGATTTCTTTTTAGCTTATGGACGTATTGACCTGCATCTTGATTTACTGTAACTGCAACATTTCAGTAAAAAGATGATAAACATTTTCTGATCATGAATTTCGTAAATAAATGTTTTTCATTTATTTTTTTCTGTGCATATATATYATTTCTTTGTAAGTGTTGTCAGACTTTGGCGCCACATTTTCACTGTAACCGACTCCTGCCATTAAGTATTTTTTTTTATGAAGTACTACGTCATCTATGTCAATGTCCTTTGTATTCATAAAAACGTTTTGTTTTTGCCAGATGGCTGCAAATGGGTTGCTATGCTTAATCATGTCCAAGAAAAGACCGCGATGCMTGGTAAGTAATGAGCGCGCAAATAATGGCGGGAAGTCATGCGCCCCTCCCTTTTTATCGCTTTATGTTCATCTCTCTTCAAAGTACAGCGCATGATTGAACGGAAAAAATCAAAAAGTATTTTGTGTTTTCTCCTAGGTCATCTTATCMATTATGACAACAATTGCAGCAAGTCTCCTGTGCTTTGCCGGCGCAGTCTTCTCCCTAACTAATGTGGCCCCAATGCTCGCAAGCTTCGACAAGTGTCAATACTTTCCAATGGAGGTTTCGTGTCGATGTTTTTTCACAAGTGATCTCCGACAAGTCTCGTACATTTTCCGGGGAACCAATAATTGCAAAGTTGTGCAGTTTGATTTGAAAAACATGGTGTATGGCGTTAGTGGTGTCTATGGAGCAGGACTTGCTTTGTGCTTGGTTGCAGGTGTCATGGAGAGTGTGCTGATGTGCGCTAAGCGACGAACAAAGGTACGTGACCGTCTCATTTAGAAAGTTTGCGGTACTACTACGGGCAATCGTACATTGCTATTGCGAAAAACGATGAAAAAGTTGTAAAGGAATCGTCTTCTTCATGCACGGTTCCCTGCGCCATCTTGAAAGGTAGCCGTGCCTTTTTATCGAAGCGAGACGACCGTTGAGCGTGCAATGATAGAAACCTTCTTTCACACCTACAGACAATTATTCACAGGTATCTATAATTGCACGCCCAACCGTTGTCTCGCTTCGATATAAAGGCAAGGCTACCTTTCAAGATGGCGAAGGTAACCTTGAAGGAGACTATTGAGCTATCTCAAGGCATTGGTTTAATCAAATCAATTGTTCTCTACAGCGTCTATCATATCGCTCAAGATACGAAGGTGACGGAAAGACAGACTCGACATCACGSCAGTCCCAGACCTCTCAAACCAACCTTACTCTCAGCTGTTCTGAGGCCGAGTTAATTGCAGCTGCAAGTTCTTCTTCTGCGCATGCTTCGACAAGTACAGCGTCCAATACGCAAACGAGGCGAGAATCTCAAACAAGACGCGAGTCTCAAACCGCATGCGCACGACAACACGCTTGTTCGCATTACGTAGTTGACTTGGACCCAGTACCACGAAGAGACTAYTGTATAAACTATAACACGGCGTCATCAAGACATGACCCACCACCTCCTTATACGGAATAAGTCCATAACAGCTGCTCACCATAGCAACCTAAGTCCCAGGCCTTTTTCTCGACAAACAAAAAAGGGGCCTGGAATTGAGTATATGGACTGAACTGCGCTCATCATGCTGATTGTATTTAGAAGTGTCTGAATGGCTCTTGACACCGAACAGTGATTGCAAAACATTGAGGACTTTTTTAAACATTCAATCAACGTTAAATAGAAGTACCCTATTCTACGTTTTCAGTTAATTTTGTAAATATCATAAATCAAATAGTGACACGTGACTGAACGAAAAGAAGAAATTTCAAGTCAAAAAACAAAAGACTTGTCTGACTATGATAGTCGCATTATAATATATATGTAAATAATAGTGTAAATAAGATTTTCTTTATTGACAGCTCAATAAATTATTTTGACATCGAATACATATGATTTTTGTTGTCACTGTGGCTCAGAGCTTCTCGCTAATGGCTTTTCCAGTAGTTCTTTCCACGATCGACGATGGCATGCCAATTTGATAAAGCGTAAGTATTTGATTTATTCGACATTTATTTTTATTAGTAGTTGAAGATTAATTTCAGTTTTCTAATTCCGATTTTTGGCAGGGTTTTTTGTTTCCAGTCTCTAACGGGCGTCAACCAGGTTATTACATGTAATTTTCACTTTTTCATGCAGTTCTTGAATTCGTTTTTTAACTCACGCCATTTTGTGCAGCAAAGATTTATGGTAGTTSTAGTCCTCATTATAGACCCTAAAACATCTCCTTAAAATACATTTTACCCTTTTTGAATTAGAAAAAGCACAAGCATTTCAGAAGGACTGTTTTCGCAGACATAGAAAAAATACGTGGACAACAACTACCATCATGCTTTGCTGTATAAAATGACGTCCCTGCACATTGCCTATCAGTGGCATTCATTCACTTTGGTCGTTTTTAATATATATATTATTTTTTCTTCATTTCTTCATTCTTTTTTTCATACAAAGAGCTCACATGACTAATTTTAATCTTAATTAGTAGAATTTTCCAATACATCTAGCAACTGAGTCACATTTTGCATCAGTTTGCTACTGGCCCGAGTAAACGCTCTTAAAGCGTCTTGTTTAGCATTCATATTTTGTCATTTCATGTTAKTTTTTCCTATTCCTTTACTTGTTTATTCACAGCGTTTTGCTGAAATTCTGGCAATTTTTGCAGTTGTGAAAATTTGACAACGAATATCTGTTTAAAAAAAWAATAATAATAATRAATATATTATTTACCAATATAAGTACAACAAGAATAGAAAAAATAATTAAATAAAATACAACCGCAGAGAAATTACGCCACCTATTGCAGACCGGTATTCCTGTGGTAAATTTAGTTTCCAGTAGCAACATAGGAAGCTTMCTCTAAAAATAGAAGCGGAAGTTCCAAATAAGGCATGCAGTAGGCGGGTTTTACWGTCACGTGGTCATTTGAGCGCCAAGAATTTGAATCGCAAACGAAGGCTTCCTATTGGCTAAAATTCAAGGAACTCTTTCGGTGACGTCACGATGAGCGCCGTCGATGAAAACGCGACCTAAAGAGATTCAAGTGAAAAGAGTTTGTGGTAAGTTTTCTATTTTCATCTTAAAATATTTTTTCCATCCTGTTCTCYCAAGCTAATTTAATGGACTAAGAATATTTTTTGATATTTATTTGTAAGCACTGAGTGACGATTTTTAATTTTGAGGCAAATTTAGCTGCTACAAGCGTTTCTGTTTGTRCCGTACTGCTCAGTGACTTCACGGTATCTCTGTGTTTTGGGTAAATATCGCTTTTCAACTGGTTCTGATTGTGCCTCTGTTGCCTGAATCTTAAAAGTTCTGCTTCTTGTAGCTACCATGGATGTGATTTTGTGAAATTTGGATCTTATCCGTTCAATGATTGTGGTGTTTAAGAGTAAATCGCTAGTGGGTGATCGTTTCAAAGTTATTACATGAACCAAGAAGAATGTCTGTCGACTTGACTAGTACATTGTTTTGTTTTTGTGTTTCTTTATTCTTTTGAGCATCAAAACATGCACAGAAAGCACTAGTGATGTCGATCGACTGTCACTAACTTGCAYAGAGGCTCTWAAACGATTCATTTTCTGCAGAAATCTGCTCGAGCCAGTGGTTCTGATTCCATTTCCTGTCGAGGTCAGTGAAGTAAACACAACGTTCGCGCCCACGATCAAACCTCACAACCGAGTTTACCACGTAAAATCGTGACTAGAAATCCATTAAAACTACTCTTTCACACTCTCAAATTTGCTTTAAATACTTTTGGAGCTAATTTGGAGTTAAACTTTGCCTAGTCTAGTCATATCTGACCAAAAACTTTGAAACCCATAAATTTACGTGACAAACGAGGCAATAAGCTTATGGAAAGTGAATTTTAAACAGCTCTTGTAGATAGATGTTGAAGATGTGTCTCCTACGCATTTATCCTTTATGAAACTCCAGAAATTTTATTCCGATGTGAAAAATACAACTTTTAGGTCAGGAAAAGGTAGTTGATGAATTGTGTTATTGACATTTTTCCACCACAAAGTCGTTTGCTGTTCAACACAATATTGTCTGTAGTTGTCATATCTTATTTCACTGTACCTGTGATTGAATGATTTTGCTCCAAATCTTACGATCTTAAACTGTGTGCTTTGTATTTTAAAGATATATGTATAAGTTTGTTGTGCTAACTTTATTCTAGTGATGAGGTTTGAATACCCTAACTCTGAAAAAAAAAACAAGGAAATTATTCTTCTCTCTGTGCATTGGTATTTTTTTCTCAGGGCCATTCCATGTAGAGAGTTTTTTATCTTTACTTTTCTGGTATTATCATAATCCTCTAGCTTAGGAGAGTCATAAACATTACTGTGAGCTCTGCATTTCTGTTTATTTGAAATTATGTGTATTGTAYAAATKAATTTCCKTASCATAGAAAATTGTTAAGTTTTTGGCAGATTGTTTAAATTATTTTGTTATTTATTTCAAAGCAACATACTTAAATTAATTTTGATTGTATGCAAAACCCTTGGTCAAGGTTATTCTTTTTGAAAATAGTAATAATGTAATAACTTCAATTTATTGTCAAAATGTACATTTTAGTGTACTCTATGTCACTCATGCAAGATTTTAGCTTTTGAAAACTAATAATTATTTCTTTCAGCTTTTATTGTACAGTCACTTTTGACATATTGATTCTCAATATCATTTAATTTTCTTTGAACTGTCGTAATTTTTTTGTAAAATTATTGTGAGTATGTTATACTTATTTTTTGTCATAAAAATCAGTAGTTATCGGAGTTTCCTGTATTTTATTTCATAATTGTGTGTGGAAATTGTTGCTACGGCTAAGTGTTAAGGGTAAATCCATTTTGTTTCAATGCTGTGGTTGCTGTGTGCCTTATAACTTCAATGTTATACTTCCATATCGTAAGAGCAATATTGTGATACAATGCAAATSTATGCATTTTCCATATTTGAAAAAGATTGAAAGCTCAGGCACTAAAATATCGAAAATTGTAAAAGTTTATCATGTATTTATACCTGTGTATAAAGAATTCCTGATGTTTCTCATTCTATGTTATATTTAAAATATAAGCGGGAGACCTTTATGGGCATTTAAAACTGCGAGCTGTAAGTGAGCAGGTTTTATAGTCCATAAAGGTTGCACACRAACATTTTATATTGCTTATCAAATTCTAACGTAAGGTAAAGCATATTTCGAAAAAAACTTCAGGATAAAATATCGTTTGTTAGAGAAAATCGAATTTAAAGTTGTATGAAAATCAGGACAAATCTCTTGCTCATATAAAGATGCGATCAGGGCAATGATTTTCCATTGTGTTTACCTTATGAATTATTAATGAATTTGATAAATACTGTAGTTAATTACATCTGTAAATCCACATGTAGCAAATGTTGCAATATCAAAGTTCAGGTTTTGTTTTAGTTCAAAGTTTCAATGTAACTTGAGATGTTGGAATGGTCTTAATATTTATGCTGGGACATTGTATAAGATAATTATTTTGGCTAACAGATTGTCGTGAGTTTGTTAATTATTGTATAGACCAATAAATGTTTTCATGTTGATTAAAAAATATTTTACTTTGAAGTATTATGTCAATTAAACCCCAATAATGACAGTGATTATTGTTGTAATTACATGGATTTTAAGACGGAATGATTTGTGTCTGTGTATAGTGATGTTGATGGAATAACAGAGGTTGAATATAGAATGTATATTGCATGTAGTTATAAGGTTTTTTTAACATTCATTGATGTAAAGCATAGAAATTAGCTAAAAGGTATAATAGGCCATTTGCGTGAAGCGATCAAATGGTACTAAATCCATCATACTGGATGGCAAAGAATGTACACAACCTCAAAAACAAAAGGAACGCAGCCCGCCAAGCTTGACTTTTCTTTGTTTTGAACATCCCAGTGTGTATATTGCCATCCAGCATGATGGATTTAGTACCATGTGACCATTTCATGCAAAAGGGCTATAAAACTGCTTTGGGATTGTTGCATGCTTACTATATAGAGCTGAACAGTGCTGATGCATAATATATGATGTGAAGCAATGTTGTACTTTTTGTACAACCAAACACTCCTGGGACTTGTAAAAAAAAATTACCTCAAAGCCATTTTAGGTTTCTTTGT